TTTTTCTTGCTATTAAATGAATGAGTCAACCATTGTTTCGTACATGTTCTCAATAGTTAGATAGATGAATATGAGAGAGAGAGAGAAATTTTCACGGTATGGAAAAATCATAATTGCTCCCTTTTCCTTAAGACATATGCGATACTCTGTCACATTTCGACCCCTACATCTACCGTATTCTGAATTCTATTGTCTCTATATTTTTTTGAAGATTTTTTCTTTTGAAAGGGGGAAAAAATCATGAAATTCAATTGATTTCTTTGACTACTTTAATTAACTAAGTAGAAAATTAACTAAAGTAGTCAAAGAAATCAATTGAATTTCATGATTTTTCCCCTTTCAAAAAAAAATCTCTAAAAAAATATAGAGACAATAGAATTCAGAATATTAAGGTAAAATAAAATACAATTTGAAAAAAGTTGATGACCCCCATACAATTCCCCAAACTGACGTTCTGCACGTCTAGTTGACTCGTGTCAGGTGCAGGACTAACCCTCAAATCACAAGCAACTATGGTGTCCATAAGATTCTTAAATTTCTGTAACACAAAAATGGCCCACACACAGTTTATCACATCCCACCCCGACCCTTATCAAATGAAAATGATCTAATTGACACAGCATTAGGTTTTAAGTAAACTCTGTGTCTAGTTAGATTCTTCTCTCTGATACAGCTATGGCTCACACCAGAATTCCAACATTTTTCTCCTTGTGACCTTGTCTAAATAATACCTGATAAAAGTCATAACACAAAATATTTTCTCTGGAGACTGTGTTCAAGTAATACCAGGTCAAGGTCATGACAAACCCATGGTCATGTCCATCTCTGTGTAAGATATAAGCAGAAGCCATATAAATGCTTTTTTCAAAGTTATGGCCATGACATGGCAATCCCTCCTCATAACATAAACAGACAGACAAGGCAATTCCTATATACCAGGGCCAAGCTTAAAAAATTCTTGGTTTGCAGTTGTCAACCTACATTTTTAGAATGGGCGGTATTTTTTTTATTTTTCTAAAAAAATGTAGTTTTCAAATATGTTTTAACTAACAAAAATAGGCTTACTTAACATAAGCTCCTCTTGTTATAAGTCGCTGATTGATAATACCAAAAATCGAAAATGAAACATGCAGTTTCACTATCCTGAAAGCTTGAAGCTTAAAAAAAATAATACAAAATAGCTGGAAAAAGTTTGGGTCAGGTGCATTTTCAGTGGGTCACTAGGCAGCTGAAAAAAATTATTTTAGGCCCAGGCTCTTCATTTGCAGGGGTAAGATAACACTGATAAGGTAACACTTTTATCAGTTAAAGATTATGTATTTATTTCTCAAAGTGAGGAAAACACACATAATAGTATTCACAATCAAGTACTTTACAACAGTGACCCACAAACACGAACAGACAAATATCTATATCATATATTTAAACTGATACTGATCCAAAAACCATAATCAGACACATTCTAAAACAAAAAATCTTAAAACAGTGAATCACATTCTATGAAAGTAATGATTACTCAGTGATCAAGAAACCAAAAACACATGCATAATTGAACTGCCATAACCAAACTTCTACAATGTTTTGAACAAACATTCTATGACAGTGACCCACAATCCATGAACAGACACACACATGTATATATGACAGTGTTCAACAAAGCATGAACATTTTCATATATATGTATGCATATACACAAATGTCTTTACTCAAAGGCACAAAAAGTCATGAACAAACTACAGGAAAAATGTTAGAACAAACAATCTATGACAGTGACCCACAACCCATGAACAGACACAAACACTTATATATGACAGTGATCAACAAACCATGAACATTTTCATATATATGTATTCATGTACACAACTGTCTTAACTCAAAGACACAAAAAAAAGTCATGAACAAACTACAGGCAAAATATGAGAACAAACAACCTACGACAATGACCTACAATCCATGATAGAACAAACAATCTATGACAGTGACCCACAATCCATGAACAGACTCATACATGTATATATATGACAGTGATCCACAAACTATGAACTTTTCATATATGTATGCATATACATAAATGTCTTTACTCAAGGACACAAAAAGTCATGAACAAACTACAGGAAAAATGATAGAACAAACAATATATGACAGTGACCCACAATCCATGAACAGACACAAACACTTATATATGACAGTGATCAACAAACCATAAACATTTTTATATATATGTACGCATATACACAAATGTCTTTACTCAAAGGCACAAAAAGTCATGAACAAAATAAAGGAAAAATGTTAGAACAAACAATCTATGACAGTGACCCACAAACCATGAACAGACACATACATGTATATATGACAGTGTTCAACAAAGCATGAACATTTTCATATATATGTATTCATGCACACAACTGTCTTAACTCAAAGACACAAAAAAGTCATGAACAAACTACAGGCAAAATATTAGGACAACCTATGACAATGACCTACAATCCATGATAGAACAAACAATCTATGACAGTGACCCACAATCCATGAACAGACTCATACATGTATATATATGACAGTGATCCACAAACTATGAACTTTTCATATATGTATGCATATACATAAATGTCTTTACTCGAGGACACAAAAAGTCATGAACAAACTACAGGAAAAATGATGGAACAAACAATATATGACAGTGACCCACAATCCATGAACAGACACAAACACTTATATATATATGACAGTGATCCACTAACCATGAACATTTTCATATATATGTATGCATGTACACAACTGTCTTAACTCAATGACACAAAAAAGTCATGAACAAACTACAGGTAAAATATTACAACAAACATTCTATGACAGTGACCCATAACCCATGAACAGACACATACACGTATATATGACAGTGAACAACAAACCATGAACATTTTTATATATATGTATGCATATACACAAATGTCTTAACTCAAGGACACAAAAAGTCATGAACAAACTACAGGAAAAATGTTAGAACAAACAATCTATGACAGTGACCCACAACCCATGAACAGACACAAACACTTATATATGACAGTGATCAACAAAGCATGAACATTTTCATATATATGTATGCATGTACACAACTGTCTTAACCCAAAGACACAAAAAGGTCATGAACAAACTACAGGCAAAATATTAGAACAAACAACCTATGACAATGACCTACAATCCATGATAGAACAAACAATCTATGACAGTGACCCACAATCCATAAACAGACACATACATGTATATATATGACAGTGATCCACAAACTATGAACATTTTTATATATATGTATGCCTATACACTAATGTCTTAACTCAAAGACACAAAAAGTCATGAACAAACTACAGGAAAAATGTAAGAACAAACAATATATGACAGTGACCCACAACCCATGAACAGACACAAACACTTATTTACATGACAGTGATCAACAAACCATGAACATTTTCATATATATGTATGCATATACACAAATGTCTATACACAAAGACATAAAAAAGTCATGAACAAACTACAGGAAAAATGCAAGAACAAACAATCTATGACAGTGACCCACAATCCACCATGAACAGACACATGCATGTAAATATGACAGTAATCCACAAACCACATATACATGTATGCATATACACAAATGATATAAAAATACATAAACAAACTACAGAAAAAAAATTGTAAAATGTTAGAACAATAAATAACCGTGACCCACAATCCAAGAGGTTGAACCGATATGACAATGACCCACAAACTATACACAAACTATGGGACAACCAATATACCAATATATAGAAATATTTACCTCCTGGAGAATATTGATATACAATTCAAGCTTTGATACTATAATTAACAAGCATTTTGACAATCTAAAAATAAATTATTAAATTTTAGAACTAAGATTTGATTTTATTAACTTTGTTAGTGTAAAAATCCTTCAAAAAATCACACAAAATACGAAATCTGATGTACAGGTTCTAGACAGACATTACTTGAAAAATTGATGTCACTTTATAATTCTTTTTTTCCTATAGAATAGATATATATTTTATCACCTCTGGCTTGTGAACATGACTGTTTAGTCTTTATTTATCATTTATTGCATAAATATTTACATTTCCAATGTCTTTGTCCGAGATAAAATTACAAATTGTAAAAATATTTTATTTCTACATAAATCTACTAGTTCATCGATAGGCGCGGTTAAAAAAAAAATCACGTGCAGGGCGGGACAAAAAGAGACAGAAGCGGGGCTATTAGCATGGGAATTTGCAGAATCAGGAGCATGTAAATATAAGGAATAACTATCAGATTTTTTGGATTCATGACGATGATCAATCGATTGGCTTGCGTGATAATTTTATGCATAAACGCCTTCGGCGTTTATGCAAATTATCACGCAAGCCACTCGATTGATCACATCATGAATCCAAAAAATAAGACAGTTAGCTTTAAATGAGTTTTAATAAAACATAATTTCACCACGCGAATTTAATTTCTTGTTCGTCGCACATCTGGTGAAAAAAGTAAGAGCGGGCAAGAGATTAAATAGTAATATTATTACTTTTTTGTACGCAAAATTTTTAGGCATAACATGAAAAAAATTGAGTGACAATTATATTTTTTCTACTTTTTTCTGATTTGTAGAGTAAACAGATTTAAATTATCAAAAATAGAGCGGAAATAAAACAGAAACTGGCACAGAATTTCCCAGGTGCAGGAGATTTAAATTAATATTATTTGTATAGCTTTGTTCAAATAAGAGCGTGCGGGTCCGACAAGCAAAACATTAAATTGGAATGGCCTTTGTATTTGATTTTATTTATGAAAATTGATAATGGCACATGTCACATATTCACATCAAAACTTATCACATTATCACTTTTGGAATTGCAAAGCAGTGTATCAACAGACTTTTCATATTTGAAACTAATTATTTTTTTTCTGCATAATAAAGCATAATTCAAAATGTACCAGTATTATTTTCAGATTAAGATGGACTTAACTGTAGAAAAAGACAGTTTTATATTCAATCCACATATCAGCTTCAGAGCAAATAATTAACCACACACACATGAACACCATTAGGGTCTTGGCTTATCTGCGGAAAAAGTTTATATTCTGCAAAATGGTCTTCACTGGTTTGTGGAACATGTGCAAGTTTTCCATCAGGGTCTGCCTCAATAATCCACTCTAAGGAACATGCAAAGAAGAACTGACAATGTAATATAAGTTATGCTACAAGTCTTGTATTGAAATTTCCTCCTATATTTCAGAAGAGTTACACATACCTGTACTAAATTGCCTAAGCTGTTGAACATGTGAATTTACAAGGTCCTGACTAGTCTGTACAATCTGTGGAACATGTAGAAATGCTGTAACAGGGTTTGCCTCCAAAATGCTTCCTATAATATATGTGCAAAACAAAATTAATTGTGATTATATTTATGCCTACAACTACATTCAGATACCTTTAATGTATGCTATTTCGATGCATTTTGAATAGAAATTTAACATGCTATTAAATAAATGTTCTTAACATAAAATAAATTAATAAAAAATATCAAATAAACTAATTGTTTTTTTATATAACACTAAACAGCAAGGGCAATGGTCACCCAGGTGTAAATTGTACAATCAACTGAGAAGTCCTATTAGGTAGACCCTAATTGTAAGGACCATTATGACAATTTATCAAAGGATCTTGGATCAGGCTAAACAAGAAATATACTAAACTTCAAAGTTCGCAGAAATGTTCTTTCTATAAATATCTACTTGATGGGTTTTACCTACCGTATTATTTAAGAAATTCAATTCTGACTAAGTTTCAAAAATGTATATCAAAGTTAAGATTATCTTCACACCTTTTAGCTATTGAAACTGGATATAATAAAGCAAACAGATCCCACTGGAAATGTTTTTTTGTGTCATACTTGTGTCGAGGATGAATATCACATTCTACTAGTATGTCCTGTTTATCGAGATTATCAATGCAAATTATTTCTTTTTAAAAAAAACATCCATACGTATAAATTACTGCAATTGTTCAATACTAAGACCTTTAAGGATATGTGTAACCTAGGTAAATATATTTATTATAGCATGAGGCAAAGAGGTGATCCTGTACATATAATCAAATATCAGCTGTCTCATTTAAAGTCATCATTTTGTAAGTTCTATGGTCGATACAATGACCTTGTCAGCAAATACAATTTATCATTGAGTCAAATGCTGACTGACGTTTTTCATACTAATTGTTAGACCATTATTTACACACTGAATTGTCGACGGATTTTTCCGTTATTTCCCAATCATGACAAGGAGCACACGGCGGGTGTGACCGGTCGGCAGGGGATGCTCACTCCTCCATGGCACCTGATCCCACCTCTGATGTTTGGAGGTCCGTGTTTGCTCTGCTCCTATTTTGTATTGTATAATGGACTTTTGAGCTTGAATACTGTTCGTTATCTCCATATATTTCATATCAAGGTGATCTTGTAATCCAATAATAATAATCACTCTAACCTTGTCTTAGAGGTATTATTTTCAATAATTTACTTTATTTAGGCCAAAAAAAAATAATAGTCTTGTTTTTTCATCGTTCTGTCACCATAATCGTTTTCTGTGTTAACACAAAACAAGCATTTCATGAAATTCTTGTTTTAAATGTGGACTTTCATAGAATACCACTTGAGTTTAGTCAAAAGACATGAAATTTGATTTTAAAAGACAATATTGACCTGTGACATGTTTAATTTTATCTTTTATTAGTTCATATCCAAAAAATGTTGTCGAAAAAAAAATAAAATGAAAATATACAATAAAATAATTTTCCTACCTACCTACCCTATTTTTTTTTTCAGGCTGGTAGCAGGAAACAAGACTATTTTTTTGGTCTTATCTAAAATATGGATCACAAAAAGATGTTGTTTTTTCCCCATCAATTTAATTAATTCATCATTTTCACCAATTGCTATTTTCCTATTCTTGGAAAAAAAGTTCACAAATTAATATATTTCAATGTACGTGATGTAAACTTCAGAAACTTGCATCTGCTGAACATCAATTTTAGTGCCCTTGTAATCGTAGATTCGGGGGTATATAGTTTTTGCCCTGTGCATCCATCTGTCTGTTTGTCCGCAAAAAAAATCATTAATCATCAAGTCGTAATGTTATGACAGCATGCTTTAATAGTGACTACTTATACAGTTTGATGGAACCACGGACCTATACTATACGTCCCTGACAGAATGGCATCCAAACATCATAAACTTTTTAGAACCTGACCTTGTTATTGAAACATTTGGTCAATTGCTTGCATATAACAACTAATTAAGTGTTTTGGCAGCATTAATAATGACTGTTTAATGGGTTAGGTACATACTATGTAATAATAAGTAAACATGACAAACAGCTGGCAAAGTCCTGTCTCAATAAGTGTCAAACTTGGTATTTTCTTTTGAATAAATTTTAATTCTAGGATCAGTCTTCTTGTGTTCCTCTGTGTACTGTACAACCATAAGGGTGGTTGTACTAATAAAAATATTTCCTTAAACCTAGCAAATTGTTTATAGTCACAGTAATACCTTACATCTTTGATTTAGTAAAGACATAAAACATACAGGGTGTTAGTTCCTTGTTTTACTATTGTTATTCACAAAATATTTTCATTATGGCAAGTGAAATATTCTGAAATGGTGGCCAAATTTTTTTTTAGGTCCTCATTTAGTGACCTGAAAGTAAGTGTGACTTGGAACACTGTTGGGTAAAACATTTTTCATCTCTTGACCTCTCAAGAACATTGAAAGAAAAAAGCACTACAAAGAGGATGCAGCGTATCAAATTTGAAAATCCATTATTCTAAATATTTACCTGATGAGTGATGAACTCCAAGGAAGATTGTCCATTGGGCATGGGATCACCATAGTCATATCTGATCTCCTTCCCTCTATCAATATCCCTTCTTGCAAAGAAAAAGCCTGGAGTAGTTGTTAAACACTTTTAACTTCTCATAACATGCATAAGATGGGGTTGTCTATAGCTGCATCATTAACCTACTTTCCAAGCCTTTTGAAGCTGTCAGATGCATCAATGCTTGTAAAATGATAATGAAAACCATAAATAAAAAGTTTAAAGTTACATATAAACATAATAACATATATGATGAAATATTAGGACTGCAGGAACAATACAGTTTTATGCAACAATCACAATATAGTAGTCACAATATATGAATCACAATGTATTTTTCCAAAAATAATTTTTGTTTCATACAATTTGCAAGAGTAATAAAAATCCCTGCCACTGTATGATATTGTTCAATTATCGTACACATTTTAGAGTGCAAGAAAATTATGTTATTCTTTACTCTAAAAAATTGTTATCCTAGTGAGACATGACACTCTGCAATTTGTTGTAAAGATATAAAAATCCAAATAAAAAATATAACGCAGCAAGGTTAAGGATGCCCACAGGAAATAATACGCCTAAAAATATTCCGAGAAAATAAATATAGTGTTGATTTTTTTTTTACAGCATGAGTTTTGATTAATGGGAATTCTACTATTTGCATATGTAGGAGGGTTGTCCCAGAAATACGTGAACATTTTCAATATCTTTTGTTTCACTAATACTGTAAAGTTAAAAATAGGCATAGATCATGATCAACATTTTTGTGAATTTTTTCTGGAAATGTGCTTCTGATAAAATTAGTTTATTTAAGCATAAATTCGGCACAGTATTTAATTTTATTTTATTTACCAAGTAATGCATCTCAAATACGGCGTGTGTTGCTAAAAGATTGTGGAATTAATTCTTTCAATAGACAATTTCTCAATTCCGATAATAAACCTAACAGTTCACATTGTTTAACGATGGCCTTGGCTTAGGCTTATGACGTAAAGCTCAGGACTTTCAGTTTGTCTTCATTTCTTTTGGTCTACAAAATGTCTCTTCCAGCACTAATATCTCTTTCATCGTATGGGCAAGAGTCCTATCCCATTTTAAAGACAGTGCTGCTTAATAATTTGTGCTCCAAATTATCACTAAACGTCACCATTTTTAACAATATCTAATTAAAAGTGTTCTGGCATATAACGTCATATATTTGTCATTAATGATATCAAATTAATGAATTTTCATACACAAGTATATCAGCTAGATCAAAGAGTATTTATGGAGGTAAAGTTTGTGACATTATATTTCCGTATAGCCTGGTAATAAAGAAAAATTCATTGACAATGCTACTTTTAAAAGTCAATAAACTGCAGTGTGCAGACCACCGATATTTAACACCCTTTAAATGCCGTTTTTACATATTAATGACATCACAAGCCTAAAATATTTTGTCATAATACTGAAAATATCATTTTCCAACAACTTGCAAAAAATTATTAGTTCTGGTCAAATAGTTTCTGAAATATACAAAAAGTTTGTGTTTTCTGGGACAACCCTCATATATATGAGGTCTTTGCCGAGTTCGGCCAAAGCAACTTTACTTACATCAGCTGTTTGTCAAGTGACATGTTTAAATTACAAAAAATATGTATGGCTACAAAGATCATAAAGTACAACGATATATGGGTATCTTTTCACTATGAAATTAATTTTGTTTTCTTTAAGACAAATTCCTTAACCTGAAAAGTGCTGGGAGCAACTTCCCCATGCCTGAGAATTATGTAAAATTTTTGATAAACTTCCTACATTGACATAATATGCATTGAAATAATGGTAAAATACGGAAAAAAGCAACAGCGCACAACCAGCTCCTGGCACTTTTCAAAGTAGTAGGGATGTTACTACCTTTGTATAATAAAGTGCCCCAGCATGATACACCCGTCAAATATTGTTCAATTATCACGAACAGTTTAGAGTGCAAGAAAATAAAGTCAACCTTGATACAAGGATTTCCAAGATTTTTCCATTTCTTACAATTTTTGTTTATACATTTCCTGTGGTGTAGGCATTATAACAAATATTACATTATAGATCCTCAACTGGTAGTGTTAGAGCTTGACAAATGCCCATCTGCACCCCCCCCCCCCCCACACACACACACACAGTGACACACACACACATCTTTCATATTTGTGAGACATGATGCTCTGAAATTTACTAGTTGATATTTTCAAAAAATTAAATAAAAATATCATATTAAACAAAATCAATTTAGTCTTAACAACTTAATCTATACCAATTTAATTTTAAAATAAAAGACTGGCCATCAAATGACATATGCTATAAACTGACCAGCAGTTCTTCTGTCTAATTCCCAAAGGATACAGATAAGAACTGCTTGATCAGAGATGCTCTAACAGAAATGATTGAGAACAGCTAGCCTTCCTACACTGAACTCATTAATTAATCTTTAACTGGATGCATGTCCACTCATTACTCCCAAGGGATGAATGGATCTGTGCTATCTGCTTTGTAGTGCAATTAAAATGAATATTTATGTCATTCTGAAATTAAAGTTGAAAACAAAGATTTTTTTTTTCAATTTGTTACAAAGATTTATAAAAAGAAAAAAAAATTGTAATCTTGATCCAACATTTTTAATAAGGTTTCTGCTTGACTCTTAGATTTGTAGGGACTATCTATTAGTTTATTATACAATATCAAATTAGTTTATTATACAATTATTGTATCAAATTAGTTTTAATTACTTTTCACCAAATTCATTTTAAAAGTTAGGCTAGCCCACAAAAAACTATTTAATCCAACATGGCTGATTCCTCTGCCCAGTTCCCAAGAGATATAGATAACACCTGCTTGATCAGAGATGCTCTACCAGTTAGCTCCTCACACTAAACTAATTTCTCGCTAATTTGACATGCAATTTTCTGTTATCAAAATTCTCCTTGACCAGTGCTTGATAATTACACCCATGGGAGAGGTGGAATTTCTCTTGTAACATTATATTTGTTATAGATTGCTGTAAAGTATATAATGAAAAAAATAAGTATTTCTTGATTTTAACATCTTTTTAATAAGGATACTGCAACACTTCTACATTTTTTGGGATTGTGTAATTTAATAGTAAAAAGACAGTTTTTTTTTTTTTAAATTTCACTTAAATTAAAGGTCACAGTGACCTTGAAATAGGTCGCGACACACCTTCTACCTAAGATGCATAAACTGGCCAAGTTTGATGATTATAAGTCTAATAGTTTTCTAGTTATGAGCCGGACAGGATTTTTCCATATTTGGCCATAGCATCTTAATTAAAGGTCAGAACGACCTACTTTTAGTGCGTGACACACCTTCTACCAAAGAAGTATCAGCTGACAAAGTTTGATAATCCTAGGCCTAATAGTATTAAAGTTATGAGCCGGACACGAGAAAGGCTAACAGACAGACAGACAGACGGACATGAACGCCATAACATAATACGTTCCGTCTAAAGACGGGCGTATAAAAATTCATAAATTATAGTGAAGCAGATATCGTTGAACTTTTGAGATTTTCGAGGGGCTGTGCCTGTTATTCTAGATAGTTAATGTATAAATGTGCCTTACTGTGGCTTTATATGAGGTCTACACATTTTCAATTTAAGGCCTAAAAAAAAAATAAGTTTGTTTCCTGTAACCCGACTGACCCATTCAAATTATCCCCCGGCGGATTTTTTTTTCTGCCAAATCTGCATTTGCTCTTTGGTTCGATCGATCAGCTGATTCCATTTATTCCAAAAATATTAATTGTAGCTTTATTTCAGATATAAAATATGTCATCCTAGTCAACATTTACCTTGAATATAAAGAGTAATCATTATTGTAACAACAATTTCCACCCACAACGTTTAGAATTTCGTTCTCTGCCGCTAAGCAGCCATTTTGGGTGTCCACTTTAAATATAACACCTGGTTAATTCAGTCTGGGGATGTTTGACCCTTTTATCCATAAGCAAAAAAAAAAAAAAAAAAAAAAAAAAATCCCGACCTACCGACCCTTGATTTTTTGGGAATGTTACAGGAAGCAAACAATTTTTTTTAGGCCTAATTAGACTATAAAATATTGATTAATACATTCAAAAATATGACTTAGTTTTGGTCAGATCACACTTATTTTAATTTGATATTTACAGGCTACAATAATAGCTTGATCTACGCCTCAAGTACAGAGAAACTGTCTGTCAAACTAGGGTGTGACGTCATCTTAGTCAGTGCAGGAAGGTCAAGATGGCTTAAATTCTACATTCAAATAGTGTTATTATGACATGATAAGTTACACATCAATTTATGTTTACAATATTTATCATGTTATGAGAAAAGACTGTATTTGAGTGTGTATGAAAAAGAAAACATTAGTATTTAGGATTTATTTGTTCAGTTTCATTGTGACGTCATAATCGATTTCCAGAAGCTCTGCATATAGGCTGATGTAAGTATGGGAGTCCTAAACCTAGCTGCGTATACAATATATATATATATTTTTATATAATTAGTTTTGATTACTTGTTAAATATACAATATCAAATTAGTTTTAATTATATTATATACTAAAAGATTAGTTTTATTTACTTTACAACAAATTTATCTTGAAAGTTAGACTAGACAAGAAAGTCGACTTTTGCACTCGGCGAGCAGAGTTTTGACACTGTTTACGGAAATAAAAGAAAATTAATAAATAAGACAAACATGTCATAGATAGTTGTGTAGATAAATTATCGTAGAGGACAATGGTAATAAACAGTTTGCCAGTGCATTTCCTCTGAAAGTGTAAATAAGTTCAATTTTGGGGAAGGGGGGGGGGGGAGGGTACTCAATGTAATATGGATTTGGATACCTTGTGTTATCATCATACTATGGGTTGAAAAATTTATTACCAAAACAAGTGCCTGTAATACCAGCTGTTAAAAATCAGTATGGGCCACTACCATTTTAGAACTAGTAGCCTCTTCAGCGACCAGTTTTAAAGGCTGATATTTTTAACCGAACAGTTTTCTCTGGTGAGGGGAGGGACTAAGATTTTCCCAGTGGCTGATCGTGTATGGTGTTAATACCTATACACACACAGTATACACAGGAAGTCCTTGTTACCTGTGGGAACTTTTATACATATAT